AGTCGGCGCTTCTCGACTCAGTTAACAATACAGAAAGGAGGCTCTGCGTCCAGATCTCATCCGTAGTCTTTGACCTGAACGAGGACTGTTCTGGCGAGCTCCGCACTATGAACGCACACATGCCAGATCTGTATGCCAGCTGCTTGACAAATGCTGCTGTTGCTGCTGGCCTGACCCATAGCTGGACGGTCGTGGTCAGCCAGACACTGGTTGGCCTGCTTGTCGGTTCCTTTGCTCTGAGAGAATATTTCACAATTATGATTTAGATTGTATCATCGTTCCCAACATAATATGGTTATTGATTTAATCATATTTTCGCACACACACAAGCACACACAAACACACACAAACACAGACACACACATAAAAATACATTATATATATATATATATATATATATATATATATATATATATATATATATATAAAAATATATAGATAGATAGATAGATAGATAGATAGATAGATAGATAGATAGATAGATAGATAGATAGATAGATAGATAGATAGATAGATAGATAGATAGATAGATAGATAGATAGATAGATAGATAGATAGATAGATAGATAATTAATAGCTTCCTTTTAGGTCGCGAGAGGGTTGAAACTTAATTATAAAAAAAACCCCAAGGTTTGTTCTCAATGATTAAACGTGTCAATAAATCCCAGCAGCTGAAAATGACCCGTGACTCATTCTTTCTTTAAACTGTTTCAAGATTGACCATTTTTTCACTTTTTATAAGAGAGAGAAAGAAAGAGAGAGAGAGAGAGAGAGAGAGAGAGAGAGAGAAAGAGAGAGAGAGAGAGAGAGAGAGAGAGAGAAGAGAGAGAGAAACAGACAGACAGACAGACAGAGACACACAGAGATGGAGAAAAACGATCACTGTTGGAACTGTATGGATTATGTGTTCCTTCTGTTTTTGTATTTTTGCGGTCAAAAATCCGTGGCGCATCTTAAGGTCAAATATGATCTCAACTATCGAACAGGCAGTCTCCAACTCTTGAACAATGACTTGTATCTCTACACGAACGTCTGTGGTGTAGCGGTTAGGCACTTTGCCTTTTCCCACAGCAGACCCGAGTTCCATTCCAGGGCGGACTGTTATGGGCAAATTCTTGCTGCTATAGCTGTTCTAGAGCAAGGTAAGGCTATTATAGGATGTAAGCTGTAAAACGAACAACTAACTGAAGCAAAATCTTTGGCCTGTCAAAATTCAATAGGTGATACTAATTAGTTACATAAAGAGCTAAGCAGACACTTACATGTACTAACAGTAATTGGGGACAGATCTAATTACTTCAACAGACTGCAAGCTTTGAGAAACGGCCCAAAAAATATATAAAATAAACCCGGTTTCCATTTTACATGAAATGTTCATGCAGTCTATTAACTTAAGTACTTTGAAGTGCTTTGACGGCGGCTGTGCTTGTATTCAGTGGTATCTAACCTCACCGGCGAAAGGATGTATTTAGATTAGAGATGGGCAAAATCCGGTTAACCTATCCGAATAACCGGGTAATTCTCAATGAAACATTATCCGAATTCAGACTCTTAAACTCTCTTCCCTAACCCGTTAGCCGAAGTGAGTGCACCCATCTGTTCACGTGGTCCTAACCCGTTTCTCCAGGTGGTTCTATCTAACCTAGCCTAGAGCTGTGTTTACACGGGAGTGGGCGCTATAGAAATGATCTTCATTATTATTATTTTCCGAAGCCGTTTATAACGCATTGAACCGTCGAAGAGGAGCGCTGACATTTTATCTGGATTTTGCTAAAGCGACTCTTTGCCCAGCCCTAATTTAGATCTAGTGCTGGTTTAGTTGACGGTCTACTGCTATACGGCTGCCAGCCGTAAGCTCCGTCCGATTGTCCACTTTCTGTCGCTGTCTACACGGTCTACCAAGATTCCAGCCCGGTCGAACGTGTGTCCTGCTAGATTGGCCGCAGTCTACCTGAAAAAAAAATGGTGAAATGGTATGGGTTTAACGCCCCTATCAACACTGTCAGATTATTTAAGGGGCGGGGCCTCCTAGTTTAACATCCGTCTGCGATAGGACCGAGCCAAATGGGAAGTTCGTGTAAAGTGCCTTTCCCAAGGACACAACGTCGGACCGAGCTGAGGCTCGAACCCTCGAACCTGCAATCTCACGATTACGAGTCCGATAGCCTAACCACTGGGCTACCGACGCCACTGCAGTCTACCTGTGCTGTGACGACAGTGCTGGGAATATTAGCTTTAAAAAAAATAGTTTTAGTAGAGGTTTTACGGCGCTCGCAACAGCATAAGGACATGATGCGAGCGTCAGAAGATTAGAGGTGTTACAAGAGAGTAACAAACATAAAAAAGAAGAAGGGAGGAAAAGGATGATAGATGTTTGATAGGAAAGAAGAAGCAAACCACACAATAGCACCCACCAATCACTCACTAATATTTGTTTATGTTTTGGTAAGTGTTTAACGGCACTTGCAGCACATTTACGTCAGGAAACTTCCGAAAAATGGATGTGTTACAAGAGAACAATAAACATAAAAAGGAAGAGGAGACATAAAGAAAATATATGTTTTATAGGAAAGAAGATGCAAACCACACCAGAACACCCACCAATCACCCACTGAGAACATACAATTATTTTCAATAACGGCATTTATGGTGTTTGCAATATTGTAGTTGGTGGGTGGGCGTTTGGGTGGATTGCCATGCTTCGTTTTGTGGTAGTAAAGATGACTGACACGCTGGCCACGACAAATCATTTTAACTTGGCAGTCCTCAGCAGGAGTAAAAACGCGGGGGGAACATTATTTTAAATGTAAAATGTTAATTTTAGTAGAGGTTTTACGGCACTCGCAACTGCATACGGTCATATGAGCGCCAGAAGATTAAAGCTGTTCACAAGAGAGTAACAAACATAAAAAAGAAGAAGGTGAGATAAGGACGATAGATAAAATGATTACGTGACAAGTCCTCAAGCCTGTATAAACTTGAAGACCAAAAAGTAGAATCTACACTGTAGGCCCTCACATTCCAATACCCTAATACACTATTTTCAATAAATCACCCCCACCCCACCCCAAATAAACCACAAAACAAACAAACAAACGAACAAACAAAAAACAAACTCCCGCTCTCTCCAAACAAACTACAACTACAACGACCGAACATTTAAATACGCCAATGGCAGTCCCAAGTCCCAAGCAGGTATAAACGTAGAGGAAAATGTGAACTGATCCCTGCCTCAAGTGCCACTCCTGTATACAATAGAAAAAGGTTAACAAAAATAGATAATAATTAGTTCTAATTTTATTAAATTTGTTAATAGAATTAAAGCACTTCCAACACAAACAGGTCATACTACGTGCCGGAGATTTAAAGTGTTACTACAAGAGAGTAACAAACCAACGCATAGAGAAGGAGGAGAGATACGGGCAATTATAACTTATGTTTACTGGGATTACTAGTAGAGAAGGAGAAAGACTACACCAGAGCTAACCAACCACAGATAATGATAACGTTTGAACGTAAACAATAATTGACAAAAATTCAGTTGTTTGGTTTATGCATCTTTTATTTTGTACCCAGTTAGTCATTTCTGATGGAGCGTTACTCGAGAAGTGAGCATGACGTCTACTTTTATAGAGTGCCAGGGTTTGTCAATCTGTGATGCTCTACAGTTTGACAACACAGTGCTCTTTGTAAAAATCCAACACAAGAACACAGTTGCAACAGACTGAACTCTTGAACAGAAAATGTAGCGTATTGCGACGTTGAAGTCTATCTTAATTAAACTCGCCTCATTTTAATATTATTATTCCTCAACCTGCCTCCACTCTTTCTTTTTCTGCTAAATAACTGCCCACCCTCTTCTCTCTCTCTCTCTCTCTCTCTCTCTCTCTCTCTCTCTCTCTCTCTCTCTCTCTCTCTCTCTCTCTCTTTCTCTCTCTTTCGCTCTCTCTTTCGCTCTCTATCTCCCTCTCTCTCTCCCTCTCTCTCTCTCTCTCTCTCTCTCTCTCAATATATTTATATCTGTCTCTCCCCCCCCCCTCTCTCTCTCGTTGTCTCTCTCTCTCTCTCACCTACGTATGTGTGTATGTGTGTGTGTGTTGTGTGTGTGTGTGTGTGTGTGTGTGTGTGTGTGTGCGTGCTCTCGCTCTCTTTCTCCCTCCTCTCTCTCTCTCTCACTCTCGCTCTCTCTCTCTTTCTCAATTTTTTTCTCCCTCTCTATTTTTTTCTCTTTCTCCGGGCCACCCCCACTCTGTTTTTATGTTTCAGTTTGTGTTTCAAATTCTACTTATACTTTTTTTTTGGAGGAAAACCGAAATAGAAACAATTCTCTTCTTTTCAGCAATCATTGCATGGCACAATAGTTCTGGGGTGCTGTCGATGGGTGCAAAGAAGACGAAATGAGTACTCACACTTTCAAAAATGGTGCAAGTACTTCTGAAAATACTTATATTACAACATCTCTTTTACCCGCAAAAATTACATCTCCTGCATATTCAAACATTGTAATTTAGTTTTTCATTGATGTAGTGCTAAAATCTCGATACAATAATATATTATTTCCCCCTAAACAGTCCCCGTTAATATAGATGATTAATTTGTTTTGTAACTGAGACTGGTATTATGGCTACCTTCTTGTCTGAAGATGGAGAGTTAATCTACGTATCAGAATGTGCTGGTCATTATGCAGAACTAGAACCCAGTTGTTGATACTGTTGAGACCCGAGACTTTTGGTACTTGCCTACACCTCTCACTCTTTGAAGGAGTGGTGTTCTCGGAGTAAGCAGACGTCTTTTATTCCTAATACGAGGTGCTTATTGCGGATGGGGCCGATCGACCCACTCGTCGCCTGAAAACAAACCCGTTCGTTTTCGAGGCGACGAGTCAGGCGCGATCGGCTTGTGCCACGATGGCCGCTTTGCTGCACCCTTAATCCGGCTAGCGAAACCACCCCGACAAGACCCGATCCGTCAAATGGGCACCATGTATAAGGTAAGGGGGTAGGAGGGGGGGGGGAGGTTCTTGTTCAGGGGGGTTGATGGTGTTAATCCTTGGGGGCAGGACTTAAGGGAGCGACAGCCGGCGCTTTGAGGTTCCCAGCGTCTCCCTGTCTCAGGGTTTTCACCATCGTGAGTCCGCAGGCACGTACGGGTATCTCGAACCCGTTGTTGGAGGTCACGGTGTCGTGCATGTGGGTGACGTCATCGTTGATGAACACAGTGGCGAGGTCTCCGATTTCCCGAGTGTATTGTTCGACTGTCTTTGGGATCATCAGTTCCCACATCAGTTTGTCTGTAAGGAAGAAACATAACAACATAAACGGCAATAACAACAACAACAATTACATAATGAACAACTTCACCACAATGGCATGCTTTATTAGTTATGTTTCCTTCATTTGCCAAACTAGAAGTCACAAATCATCTTAACCGTATTTCTCCCTTTTCGCTGAAGAGTCATTCTCCTCTGAAATGAAATAAAATGAAATGAAATGGTATAGGTTTCAGGCCCCTATCAAATCTATTATGTTATTTAAGAGGCAGGATCTCCGAGTTTATGTCCATCTCCAAAAGGATAGAGTCAAATAGGGAATACGTGTTAAGTGCCTTCTACGAGGACACAACGTTAGACCGAATTCACGAACCCTCAATCTCACAATTGGTCTCTTTTAAGGACAAGCGGGCTAAATCAGATTTTGGAGTTTTCCAGAAATCTTGACCTTCACCAAAAGGGATCCTTTCCCTACCTGTAGGAGAAGTTTGGTTTCATTGATGCGTATGTTTGTTTGGTTATAGAAAAAACTCTCCTTGTCTCTTAAAGAAACTGAACAAGGGGCATAAACTTTACCTTCGATTTTCTCAAAACAGCATTTTGGGGGATAGCCCTCTTGTGCTTAAAAGCGACCAATTATGGGTCCGGTAGCCGAACCACTATGCTACCGACGCCACCCATTCTCCTCTGCAGACACATTATAATAATATATGAAAACATACCATAATGATAAAATACATTATTATTTAGATCGATTTAGTCAACTCCACTCTTTCACATAGCTTTACAGCACGGATATCATGAGAGCAACAAAGGAGATGGTTTCTGACACCAAACACCAATTAAATTCAGAACGCCAGACAGCTGTAATAAGTAAACGTTTTATTATTAAAATCAATGTCTAACATGGGTATAAGAAAATCTCCACACCACCATCAATACGAGCTATTCAGACTTTGTTATCATTAAGAGAAAGACGTAACTTTATATGTCCATCCAATGACTTGTCAATTGTGTGTACCTGTATGTGTGTGTGTGTGTGTGTGTGTGTGTGTGTGTGTGTGTGTGTGTGTGTGTGTGTGTGTGTGTGTGTGTGTGTGTGTGCATTTGTCTATGTTTGGGATTGCATGTAGATTCCATGCCTCAGCAAACTTCTCTCTGTGGGTATTACTAAATCGTATCTAATCGTATCGTATTTTATCTTATCTTATCTTATCTTATCTTATGTTATGTTATCCTATTTTATCTTATCGTAATCGTTATAGTAGTCTCATGGCTGTTTCGCTTTGCTTGAATCATTATCTTGATGTTTTAGTAATTTAATTAAATGCAGCAGCTGACTAAGCGCTCAAACACTACCAAAACCGACAAGATTTTTCCCTGTTTATAGCTGAGTACCAACGCCAGCTTTATTATCCGGGTGAAGTGAGGAGCATTCGTGTAAAGTGCCTTTCACGAGGACACAACGTCGGGTCCCTGACGGGATTCGAACCCACTACCTAACGGTAGCGAGCTTGAGAGTATAAACCACTAAGCCACTGACGCCACGATACAGTCCAAACAGACAATTGAGCCGTTTGTCACGGTGGGTGGTTGGCGGATGCTCTGGTGTGGTTTGCTTCCTCTTTCCTATGAAACATCTACCGTCCTTATCTCCCCTTCTTTTTATGTTTGTTATTCTCTTGTAACACCTCTAATCTTCTGGTGCTCTTATGCAGTTGCGAGCACAACTGGCTGGGTGGGATATTGTATGCTCCCAGGGTTTCCTTCACACTAAAACTAACTGTCACGGTTAGGATTCTCACCTATATTCTCCTTCTTCAAGTCCTCCGTCTCCTCATGGCCAGCAGAGGCGGCATCGCTGTCCGCTGCCCCGCCCCCAATAGGGGCGGCGCCGTCTCCCAGACCTTCACCATCCAGCACATCCGGCACGCCCTCGTCTAGACCCAGCTCGGCGGGGTAGAACATGAGGTTCTCCATGAGGAACACAGAGCCCGGGGATGGGTCGTCCAGCGTCATACGGGTCTTGCTGCTGCACGGGTTGGCCAGGAAGGCCACACTTCTCTGTGTGAGGGTGTGTGTGTGAGTGTGTGTGTGTGTGTGTGTGTGTGAGTGTGTGTGTGTGTGTGATTGTGTGTGTGGGGGGAAGGGGTTGGGAGTGTGTGTGTGTGTGTGTGGATGTGTGCGTGCGTGTGTGATTGTGTGTGAATGTGTGATTGTGTGAGAGTGAATGTGTGTATGTGTGTGTGCGTGTGTGTGTGTGTGTGTGTATGTATGTGTGTGTGTGTGTGTGTATGTGTGTGTGTGTGTGTGTGTGTGTGTGTGTGTGTGTGTTTGTGTGCGTGCGGGAGAAAAAGAGAGAAAAAGCGGGTGTTTATTTAATTTTTAAAGTTGGATGCACTTATCAAGAGGCAACTCTCTTACTGATTTAGCGCTCTGCCTGCTGGGCATACTTTCTGGATTCGTAGGTCACAGGTTCCAATTAGAACAAAGGTTTCATGTTCAAAGTATGTATACTGAGTAATTAGTGGAGAAAATTTCTTTGGATGTGTCACCGAAAACGATACGACTCCACCCAATAAAGACGAGAATGTCGAATAGCTAAAACAAAAATCTAATTTTAAGTTCCGGAGCAAAATTTAAAGTCACATTAATAAACAGCGCCTCAAAATTAGCCAGATCCATATGTAAACCCGTTTACATGCATTTTTACAATTTACTTCAAATTGTGAATCGTTCAAATTCTGCAATTCCTGCCTTGCATTCTTTACCATTTTAGCCGAATCGCACATGCCAAAAACAAACATACGTAATTTTGCCTCCCCCGACAACAAAGTTTTTTTTCCGCTTCGGTGGACACGCGGCATTACACCACCTAAGTACCATAAAACGTTACCTCCAAGAAGTGTTCAAACTCTGTGACCAGAGGTTTCATGGACAGGTAGGCGTTCTTGTAGCCCTTGGGGTGTCCACGGTAACCAGCAAGTATGACGCACATTGGTTCCTTTTCCAGCACGTACCTTATGGACACAAGTTTCCGAGACGACAAATTAATCAAACTGATTTAGTTTTAGTAAGAGAAAAAAGTTGGTAGTTTCCGTAAGGTTTTACGGCGCTCGCAACTGCATAAGCTCATATGAGCAGCAAGTGGTGGATGTCAACAGAGAAGTCCAAGCAAGGAATCAGGCTTACTCTGCTCATCTCTTTAGCCTTAACAGCACAAAGTCTGTTTGTAACAGAAAACATTAACGGCACTTGGAACACATTTAGGTCACATAAGTACCCATGATCAGAGAAGTTACGAGAGAGTAACATGCAGAAGAAAAGGAGGAGAAGAAATGAAATTAATGATGATTGATGATTGATAGGGAAAAAGTAGCAAATCACACCTGAGTAATCGCCAACTGCCTACTATACAGAACACCAACCACGTACTGACACAGGTTCCGAAAAGGACAATAAATCAGAGAAATAACAAAAATGATGGGAAATGTAAAGTAACCCAGTTAATCTATACGTGTGCTTAGTTTAGCATAAGTAAAAAGAAGCAAGGTGACTTGATAACCCATCTAATACTGTAAAAAATCAAGACATCCAGATAGACAGACAGACAAAAGCAATAGAGAATATGAAAGGACATAACTTTTCCTGTGGTATCCTGCAACCGTCAACTAAAAAACATAAAAGAAAAAAATCATGAGTACAAAACAGTCATCGACAAATACATTCACATTCACAGATTTCAGCACGTTACAAAATTCATAATAATATTACTTTTGGCCATAGCTGAAAACTCAAGTCATGGGGAACAGCAACAGACTCACAAAAAAGTCTAAAAGTCACGTTTTGCGAAAAAGTAAGTGCTTAGTACCGTGACAAACATCAGTGGAGACCACACACCAAAACATTTGAATAAAATGGCTGGAAAACTTTAAATCGGAGTTATGGTATTTATAAATTAACCAAACTCGGCAGTGTTCATGCTCAAGTCATCTGGACTTTAAAAAAAAAATGTTCTAAAATAAACCTCAAGTTGACTTAGACCCTTTATTTATCAGACCCTTTCAATTATATGCAACGACAGAATGAGTATGCTAACAAATACACATTGCAGACAAATTGCATCAAATAATTATTTTGATAAGGTTTTTACACAATCAACTGGGATGGCCACATTTTTTTTATTTAAGGGGAAAATATACGGGGAGGGGTGGGAAGGGTGTAAAACTACCTTTAAGGTGTAAGTTGATTAAATCCTTTAAAATAAAACACTATTTTTTGTAGAATATGATCAACTGTTTAGCTAGAATGCCACTGCGTGTCACATGACATTGTGCAGAGTTAAAATTTTACTCACAGAATGCAATATATCCTAATAGACTTCCGGTTAAATAATTTGAGATATCAAAACAAGGTAAGAGCACTTTTCCCCACCTAAAATCTCCCCCCCACCCGCCTGATTTGATGAGATAATGCAGTTAATAATAATAACAATAATAATAACATTATTATAATATCTATCTAGCTGTTATACTAATACATATCATTTGCATAGTGCATATCCCAGCTCGACAGCAAGCTCTATGCGCTTTATGTACTATCAATTGACCAATAGGCAGCCCCTCTAACGTGTCAGCTGACCTGATGGTGGGCAGAGCGTCCTCTATCTTGTCTGTGTCCAGCACCACGCCATCTACCGTGGGCACATCCAGGTCCAGGAGTATGAGGACCTTCTCTCCCTTGAGGCTCGCCTGCTGCACTGTCAGCACAGTTAGAGGCTTGTCCTGTCGCGGGACAGAGTGGGATATTCTTCACAGTGGACACATCGCTAGACTTACTTTACTTTACCTTATTCAACCTCTTGTACCTCGAGGGCGTCGAGGGGAGAAAGAGCTTCCTGTCTCTAGGATTCAGGTTTTTCTCGATCTTCCTCTTGCCTCGTACCCTGATACTTTGATACTTTCCTGTAGTAGGCTAGAATTTGTTTCATTATTTTTCTCTTTTTTTCTATTTTTTTTCGTTTCTTTTCGTTTCGTATATTTTTTCTGTCCTTTTTCATTTCTTTTCTTTTTTTCTCTTCCTTTAGTTGTTTCGACACCCCTATGGACATAATTTAGATAATTTAGGAAGCAGGCTTCGATCCTGAGTGTATGGGTCAACCCAGACTAAGAAGGGTGCAATTTCCCAGCAGAAAGGCTGGGTGCTCAAAACGTTCTCTCCGCTCGGGTCTTCTGCGAGCAAAAACGAAGTGCCTAATGACTGCAGTACAGATGCCGTGTCGCTGGAACTAAAATAATTAACGTATGATAATATACATTGAGATATCCGAGCAAAGAACTGAATAGAAGAAAAAGAAAACTACGATCGCCTATGTCTCTTTCTGCTGAAAAGAAAAGAAAAGAAACAACAGCAGCAGCACCAGTCCCCCTCCAAAAAAACCCCTAACAAAACAAAAAACAAAACAAAAAAAAGCAAAACAAAACAAAAACAAGAGAAAAACAACAAACAAACAAACAAACAAACAAAAATACAAACAACCGATCCCCCCCAAAAAAACCCCAAACAAAACAACCCCACACAACAAAACAACAAAACAACAAAAAACAAACCACCCGAACAACAACAAAAAAGAAAGAAAACAAAGAAAGAAAAAGAAAAAACCCCACCAAGCAAACAAATAAGAAACAACAAATAACCCCTTCTTTCTCTCTCTCTCTCTACCTGAAGTGATGACAGGGACTCGAGACCGACGAGCGGCCTCCCACAGATGAGGTCCAGGCAGGAGTGTGTGCCCAAGCTGATGTGAGTGAAGGCTGCCGCCATGTCGAAGGCGTTGATGCAGTTCCCTGTCCGCCCCCCAAACGCCATGGCCACAGCACCTTCCTCCGCGGCGTCCGAGATGGCCTGAAGGATACCTAGACAAATGACGGAATGAGTGAGGCTGCGTTGTGAAATCCGGCGCTCGTTAATTTTAGGGCATTTGGGGTTATTGGTATCATCTTAAAGGTTGTTCATTTGCCTGGCATTTGATGAAAAAAATATCCATTTATCTTGAACTGAAGTCGAGATATCTGCGTTTGAAGGAGATGAGGTCGCCTGGTTTTTGGAAGTAAAATTAGTGAACAGAGTCATTCTCCCTCCAAGTCGGGGGTTGAGTCACAACCTCTAAGCTAAAAAGAGTCTGTTACAGAAACACATACATGTACAAGCAAAAACAATTATCTCTGCTTGGCTAGTCGTTGGTCATCTCTGAATGGAGAATTTATAATGCCTGGCAGTGAAAACCGAAAGGAAGCTGTTAGGATGAAGCCTCCACCATCATTCAAGTCCAAGTCCATTCGGATTGGATCGTGGAACGTTAGGACCCTTTATAAGGATGGAAAAAACTGCATAGGTCCTCCAAGAGATGCACCGATACCAACTACACATACTGGGAATCAGGGAGACTCACTTGAACCAGTCTGGACAGAAGCTAATGAAAGAAGGTAAGCTTTTCATTTATTTAGGACTTGAGTGAAACTCACAGGGAGCACAGGGCAGCTGTAGGCGACGGGAAACATGGAGAAGATGCGTGGAAAAGGACACGAGAGAGATGAAGCTCATTTGGAAAAAGCTTAGAAGGACGGCCCAGGACAGAACTAAATTGAAGGAGCTTATATGTTGCCTATACTCTGCCCAGGGGTGAAAGGTATTGATTTATTGATTGAATTTATCTGACATACATAGTTACATACACATGCAAATACACACACAGACACACGCATTCTGTGTGTCCTTCTGTCTAAATGTCTGTCTGTCTCTCTGTCTGTCCGTCTGTCTGTCTGTCTGTCTGTCTGTCTGTCTATCTGTCTGTCTGTCTGTCTGTCTGTCTGTCTGTCTGTCTGTCTGTCTGTCTGTCTGCCTTCCTGTCTGTCTGTCTGTCATATTCTTTGTTCAATATTATATTATATGATGAAACATGAACCACAGGAGACACCGACCTCCGGAAAGTGACGAAGATTTTTTTTTACATTTAGTTTATTCGTATGTATGTTAGTGAGTTGTTTAAAAAAATTGTTTTGGGTCCAGAACAAAATCAATGCCTTTGGATTTCAACTGAGTTAACAGCTTTAAATCCATATGTCAAGAGAAACTGACTTTGGAAATTCAGATTCCCTTATACAAAGAGGCAGTGGTCGCCCTTCAGAAGCTTGGACGAATTACAACTCTTCGTTCATTCATTGGGTATGGTAGAGAGAGAGAGAGAGAGAGAGAGAGAGAGAGAGAGAGAGAGAGAGAGAGTGTGTGTGTGTGTGTGTGTGTGTGTGTGTGTGTGTGTGTTTATGTATGTGTTTGTGTGTCTGTGTGTCTATAGTTGTAGGAATACCGTACACATCTCTTGATATTGATCAGCTTTACGTCAGTACATTTTTCACCAATCACTACCTTTTGTGCCCTCGGCAAACTGTTCTTTTTGATAGGCCCCCGCATTTCCCGTGTACAGAATAGTCTTGGCCTCCTGGGAAAAGCACAAGAAGAAAGTGTTTGTTTTTTAAAGTTTAAGCAAGCGTTTTGCGACACTAGCAACACATTAGGTCATATCAGCGCCGAGGATTAGAGATATTACAAGAAAATAAAAAACACACACTTAAAAAGGAGTAGAGTTAAGGACTACAGAACTGATACTGGGAAGAAGGAGGAGCAAACCACACCTGAGCCCCTGCCAACAACCCTCTTCAACAGAAGAAGAACGATGTTCAGTTTAAAGCTTTAACTTAATTAAGTAAAATGCAATCCTCTAACACGATAACGACGATTAATGAGTGCTTGGAAAAAACAAGCCGGACAAAAAGTAGAAATAGACTAGAATATGGGTTTAACACCCCTTTAAATGCTCTGAAAATAATAATAATAGTAATAATA